TGTTCTGCCCATTTCTTGACTGGATTGTTTGTTTTTTAATGGATTGTGTGAGCTATTTGTATATATCTAGAAGTTAAGCCCTTGTCAGTCGCATTGCTTGCAAATACTTTCTCCCAGTCCGTCAGTTGTCTTTTTGTTTTGTTTATGGTTTCCTTTGCTGTGCAAAAGCTTACAAGTTTAATTAAGTCCCATTTGTTAATTTTTGCTTTTATTTCTATTGCCTGACCTAGGAGAATATTGCTAAAATTTATATCAGAAAATGTTTTGCCTATGTTCTCCTCTGGGAGATTTATGGTGTCCTGTCTTAAGTTTAAGTCTTTTAGCCATTTTGAGTTTATTTTTGTGTATGGTGTGAGGGAGTGTTCTAACTTCATTGATTCACATGCAACTGTGCAGTTTTCCGAACACTACTTGCTGAAGAAACTGTCGTTTCTCCATTGTATATTCTTGCCTTCTTTATCAAAGATTAATTGACCGTAGTTGTGTGGGTTTATTTCTGGGCTCTCTATTCTGTGCCATTGATCCATATGTCTGTTTTTTGTGCCAATATCACACTGTTCTGATTACTGTACTTTGTAGTATTGTCTGAAGTCTGGAAGGGATATGCCTCCAGCATTGTTCATTTTTTTCAGTATTGCTTTGGCAATTCTGGGTCTTTTGTGATTCCATATAAATTTTGGATTATTTGTTCTATTTCTATGAAGAATGTCCTGTGTAATTTGATAGGGACACATTGAATCTGCAGATAGCTTTGGGTAGTATGGCTATTTTAACAATATTAATTCATTTAATCCAAGAGGATGGGATATCTTTCTATTTCTTAAAATTATCATTAATTTCTTTATCAGTGTTGTATAGTTGTGGTCTTTTTGATGACAGACATTCTGACAAGTTCAAGGAGAGATCTCATTGTGGTTTCAATTTGCATTTCACTGATGATTAGTAATATTGAGCATCTTTTCGTATGCCTGTTGGACATCTGTATGTCTTCCTTTGGGAAAAAATGTCTATTCAGGTCTTCTGCCCATTTTTTCAGTGGGTTGTTTTTTCTTTTGATGTTGAGTTGTACCAGCTGCTTATATACTTTGTATATTAACCCCTTATTGGTCATATTACTTGCAAATATTTTCTCCCATTCCATAGATTGTCCTTTCTTTTTGTTGTTGGTTTCCTTTGTTCTGCAAAAGCTTTTAAGTTTAATTATGTTCCATTTGTTTGTTTTTGCTTTTGTTTCCTTTGCCTTAGGAGACAGACCCAAAACATATTTGTATGACTTAGGTCAAAGAATGCTCTGCCTATGTTATCTTCTAGGAGTTTTATGGTGTCTGGTCTTACATTTAGGTGTTTAATCTATTTTGAGTTTGTCTTTGAATATGATGTGAGAAAATGTTCTAATTTCATTTTTTTCCATGTAGCAGTCCAGTTTTCCCAGCAACATACTGAAGTGATCATTCATGAAGAAATGGAACATGGACTTCCATTAACTACTGCCAGCTCTTGGCTGCAGCCATTGATGAGTTTTCAGTCTGCCAGGAGCAAAGATAACATTAAGTCCCTCATATAGTATCATTCAGTGCTGTGATCAGCCATCTACCTAGTAGCAGGTTGATGACATTGGACAGTTTCCATCATAGAAGGGATGTGTTTTGTTCTTACTGGAATAGATATTTATTCTAGATAGAGATTTGCCTTTCATGAAGTCAATGCTTCTGTCAAAGCAATCATCCTTTTGCTTATCAGAATTTCTAATCCACTGTCATAGTATTCCACACAGCATTGCTTCTCATCAAGGCATTCACTCCACAGCCAAAGAAGTGTAGCAATAGGCCTATGATTTGTAGGATTCACTAGTCTTAACCTGTTCCCCACCATTCTGAGGCAACTTATTTTATTGAATGGAGGAAAACCTTCTTGTAGACTCATTTACAGAAGAACTAAGTGGAAATATTTTGCGGAGTTAGGGCAGCATTCTCCAGAGGGCTTTCTATTTTCTGAATCAGCATTTAATGTAGGCTATATTTTCTCCCATAGCCAGGTTTCACAGATCCAGTAATCAAGAGGTGGAAATGGGAGTGTTATCACTCACTATTACCCCTATAAGCCCACTGGCATAATTTTTGCTTATATTCCTTGATCTTATGCTTTGATGACCTAGAGATCTTAGATCCTGAGAGAGAAATACTTCCATCAGAACACAGAATGATGATTCTGTTGAGCTGGAAGTTAAAACTGCCACTGGACCACTTTGGGCTCCTCATTACTCTGAATCATCAGGCAAAGAAGGGAGTTGCTGTGTTGGCTGGGATGATTGATCCTGACAACCAAGGAGAAATTGGAATACTACAGTACCATGTAGGGAAGGATCAGCATATCTAAAATGCAGATTACTTTGGCTCTGTCTTAGTGGTGCTATTCTTCCCTATGATTAAGGTCAATGGCAAACTTTAATAAACAAGTTGGCCAGGAGTTCTAATGATCCAGATTATTTGGGAATGAAGATTTGTGTCACCCCACCAGGTAAATAACAGTAACTAGCTGAAGTGCTTCCTAAAGGCAATGGGGACATGACTGGTAGGGGAAGAACACAGTTATATATACCATGTGATCAGTTACAGATTTGAGGACAGTAATGTCATATTTCTTCTTACTTTGGTAAGAATACCTTTTGTGTGTGTGTTTATGTATGTGTGTGTGCACGTGTGTGTGTGTATACAGCTAATATATTTGTTTTCCTTCCAGTATTCCTTTTCTTATCACGTAAAGTAAGATGTATAGACTCTATATCATTGTAATTAAGCATTGTTAATTTGACATCATAGTATTAAGCTACCAGATATCAAGGAGAAGACTAAACATCACTCAGGCATTTTACCTCCTCCTCTGGTGAAAGGTTTAGTGCATTTTTTGTTGAACATAGCATAGTTGTATTATGTTAGGCAGAATTGTGATCTTGTTGTCTTTATTTGGAGATTAAATATGGATGAGGAATTATATATAGGTGCCAAGTTGACAGCAGGTAGACTTGTGATGATTCATTTTATGTGTCAGCTTTTCTGGGACACGCAACATCCAGATATCTTGAAAAGTATTATTTATGCGTGTATCTGTTAGGATGTTTCCAGAAGTTACTAGCATGGAATTGGTGGACTGAGTAAAGCAAATGTCTCTCCCCAGTGTGGGTGGGCATCATCTGATATGCTGAGGAACTGAATTTAACAAAATAGGCAGTGGATGGTTGAATTTCCTCTCTGCTTAACTCATAGACATTGCTCTTTTTCTTCCTTTGATGATCTTGGTTCTTAAGATTTCAGGCTCTTGCAGAAATCTATACCATTAGTTCTACTGTCTCAAGCCTTTGAACTGTGAATAGTTACTGCCCTGGGTCTAGACCTCTTTGCAGAGGGCAGATTCTCAGCCTCTATAATTGTATGTGCCAATACTGTATAATAAAAACATTTATATGATATATATTTATATGTATGTAATATTTGTTCTGTTAACCTGGACAACCCTATACTAATACAAATACAGTTCGTTTAGCAAGTTTCTTGCTTCATATTGAAAATTAGACTGAAATACCATGATGCTACTGTTAGCCATTTTCCTCAAATAAGTCTCATTTAGAAGGTGTCTTCTCAGAAGTAAAAATCACGTTATTATAGCATTGAGAATGCCTAGTGTATGATTTGATCCGAGTACAGTTTACATAGAATAAACTGGCAGCTATGTTTGAATAGTAAGAGAGAATCGGTGAAGTGGAGGGGATAAGTAACTTGAGTTTTGCAAATCACAGAAGTGGGTAGTTATGAAGGTGAGGATGAAGGTGAGGATTTCAGTGGTATCAGTAAGAATATACACAGAATCATTGGTAAGAGGAGGAGAAGGAGTAGACCTGAAGATGAATTACTCATTATTCTTAGAATATAGTGTGATGAAAATGAACATTTAAAGACTTTGGGGCACAAACATTCAAACTCTTCTTACATTTTTATGTCCTTCCCAGCCACCCACTGAGCATTATGATGTCATATCATCTCAATGTTATTTGAACTTTTATACTGTGCATTTAATGCTTCTCTTGTCAACAACACATTCCAATAACTATTGTATATTACTGTTTTTTATTTATCTTTACTTTTTTAATTCTAGAAAGATTGACCATTTTCTTCCTATTCTGCCATACTTTTCTTTTTTTCTTATGCCTATCCAAATTATGCCTCTATCCAAATTAAATCATCTATCTAATCTGTTAACTTTCTGAATTAGTGAAGTTTTTCAGATTGACCTACAAATACAGACACAGTGAGAAAGGACCTCAGAAGGCGTTGTAGATAGTGAAAGGCACCTTGCATCTTTGCCTTTCTCTAAGAAGCACACTAAGCTAAGAGCATCTATTATACTGTAGCACTGTCTTCACTCCATTACCTCTCATGCCATTTTTTTCATTGTTTTCAAATTTCTATTTATTTCTCTGTGATATGAGAGTTGATCACCACAAGAAATGAATTTATAATGTCTCAAATAAAGTGGAATGTAAGACCTTTTGATGGCAGGCAGAATTCTGGGGATTTGCTTCTGTTCACTCAAACACAAACCTACCTCCACTGTGGAGTTAAATGTGATATGAGTCTCTAGGCTGTACACCTGTGTAGGTATAAAATACATCATAATAAAGTCCTGTTCGGAAGAACTGCACTATTATAGTACTTGATGAATTTATAAAGCCACATTGAAGAACATGCAAGAATGTGAAATATTTTCATTTTTGTTTTCTGTTTTAATTATTTTAGTATTATATAAACACTTAATTCAAATTCCTTATTTGTTATTGAATAAAATAGAGACTTTAAGGAATTTGTTAGACACTAGCATCTTAAGTCATTAAAATAATAAGACAATTATAAATGCAAAGAACTTTGAGCACTAATCAATACAGAGCAACATCTAATCTACAAAATTTTGTAGATTTACTAAAAAAAGAACACCTATTAGTATGTCAACTAAACATTTCTCTTTAACATTTTTGTTAATGAATCTAAGACCTTCTTATTTCTCAGGCTGTAGATGATTGGATTTAACAAAGGAATTATGACAGTGTAAAACAGAGAGTCCATCATGTCTTGATCATCTGCTTGTGTGGAGCCAGGGCGCACATACATGAAAAGAAGAGGCCCATAATATAAAGAGACAGATAAGAGGTGGGCTCCACAGGTGGAGAAGGCCTTCCTTATACCTTGTAGAGACTTCTTTTTTAAAATTGTAAAGAGAACCAGTGTATAAGAAATAAGAACAATCAGAATGGTAAACACCTGAATTGAACCAGAGAAAATGAAAACTATCAGAATATTAATAGAAGGGTCAGTACAAGAAATCTTAAACAATGGCATGATGTCACAGTAAAAGTGATGTATTATGTTATAATTACAGAAGGTTAATCTGAATAAAAAACCAATATGAATAAAGGCATGAAGAACACCACCTACAAATGATAAGATTAACAGCCGCATACATAGTCTATTAGTCATAATCATTGGATAAAGTAAAGGGTTGCATATGGCCACATAGCGATCATAAGCCATACTTGCCAGGAGAAAACATTCCGTGGTTGCACTGACTGTAAAGGAAAAAAATTGGACCATGCATTCAGAGAGGGATATCATCTTATTCTTGGTGAAAGTGTTGACCAGCATCTTGGGGGTCACTATGGATGATATTGAAGTATCCACAAAAGCCAAACTCCCAAGGAATAAGTACATGGGGATGTGAAGTTGAGAGTCATTCCAGATGAGAGCAATAAGACCAAGGTTGCCCACGATGGTGATGAGGTATATGACCAGGAACACCAGGAACAGGGGGATTTGCCACTCCTGCTGGTATGAGAATCCTGTGAGAACAAACTCTGTCAGCAATGTTGCATTTTCCTTTTCCATATCCTCACTAGATCTCCTCTGAAATAAAATGCAATAAATGTAAAAAGAATATTCATTATGGATTTATGAATTGAGAACTTGGAGAATGGAGTCAAAATAAATAATACTCCTGGAGTCAAAATAACTTATACTTCTATCAGAATGCCCTTTTAATCTCACAAAATAGTACTATAATAAACTTGTTGGGACTTGAAGAAATGCTGATAAATATAATTTCAGTTCAAATAAGATGCAGAAATTCATAGATTCATGTATGAAAGACATTCTAACCATTTTCAAAATTTGTGGAGATTCGATAGAATGTGGTAGGGAAATTCTGAGTCTGGGACATGGATTATTAGTCAAGAGAATAGATGTTTAAAGGATCTGGATTATAAAATGAACTGGATGCATGCAAAGAATCTTGAACTCTTTTCCTCAGGTAACAGATATGTACTGAAAAATTTCAAGACAGGGAGAGGCATTGGAAAGTATCTTAAATTAATTTTTTGTTAGGGCAAAAAATAGGTGTCATGGAGGGGAAATAGGAAGTCAGGGATACTATTCAGGAAATGTTGCTATTGCCCAATGGTTTTCAAACCAGACTACACATCAGAATTGTTTGTGAAGCTTTTTGTGTAAAATATACATTGTGAGATATTACTGTAGAAATTAATTCAGTGGGTCAAGATTGAGTTCTAGGAATCTGTACTTTAAAAAAATGCTCCACAGGTGATTCAAATGCATGTGGAGTGCCTAGTTCATTAGTGATATAACTTTGGAAGTTGTGAGAAGGATGGAAATATAGATGCAAAAAAATTCAAAATGTGGAGTCCCTAAGACTTGGTGACTTTAGATGTGGAAGGGGTGATCAGTGAAGGAGAGAGAGGTCACCTGGTGACTGGGTAGATAGGTTACCCAAAAGGGAAACTGAAAAGACCCCAATTCTTGTCTTACTTGAAAGATAAGATTTACAGATGGGAGACAGAAAGTGTTGTACAGCAAAAACATTTTAAAAGATTTATTTAGAAAAAGAAGAGTACACGTCCAAGAACAGGAGGTGGGTTTATTCAAGGGACAATCACAGTGGTTTTTATCTCTCCTTTGTCTTACACCCTCACTTAGAGGTGGTCTTTTGATTGATTGATGGCTTTTGTTCCTGGAATGCTTAGTTATGTTTAGTCCCTTTACGCATGTCCTTACCCGTGGTATACATAGAAAAACCCATGGGCAGGGTTGGGGGGTGGCTAAACTACAAAGTTAACTGTAATGCAATGGATGTTGGGTCATGTCCAGTTAAATCCTTTCCACAACTGCACAGTCATGGCTGTTGGGTCTTAACTGGTTTCTTGCTGACACTCATTTAGGAGAAGTAAAGTCCCTTTATGCTGGAGGTGGGCGTTAACACCATCTTCTGGACCATCCTCCCTCTCCTCCACCTATCTGCCT